CCCCCCCTCCATCCCACCCCACCCTCTTCAGTGACCCTGAATGTCCACTCGTGTCTTATCTCGTTCGTAAAATGTGCATTTACCTACCTCCGAGTAGCAGCTACAGCAATTTGGTGGGCGTTTAGTGTCTAGCGTGTATTGAGCCAGTCCATTTTTCAATTCCCTGTTCTAACTAACATTTATCGATTGGAGTTAAATGAATTAGTGTCAGCTGAATTGGTAAATATTTAGTCTGGTTTCGTTGAGTCAGCTGTCGGATTTTGAGTTGCTTGGACGACAAGCAAATTGGCAGATGGTGTATACGAAATTGATTGGACACAGAAATGGAGACTCGATAGAAAGTGGAGTGAATTATCTTCATGATTGACCATATTACTGCCTGAGCAAAATCATGGTAACTAGTTATTTTTGATTTCTTAGCACACTAGAGCTTTGGGTTTAAGGATGTCTGGTTATTTAGGCCTATGGAGTTTGTGATTTGCTCAACCAAAAGTGGAGAAAATATTTTACACTCCTGTGGAAATGACTTTGAGAGGAAAGAAAACGCTAAATTTCACTTTTCAACGGTTTGTGAATGGCGTTCCGTTAATCATTTTTAAAATGTTGATGGTGAGCTTTACTATCGTACCCTAATATCAAGCCAAGTTATCTACCTCCAATTTTGAACTCTTCCAATAATCGTTTTTTATTTAAGCGACTGTTCTATCAATTTTGTTTCAATATAAAACAGGGGTGTGCGATTGACTTACCTCCACGTGGTGCACCCTGGGCAACGTATATTCATACGGCAAAAAAGTCTATTGACTGGCAGTTGACTTCTCACTTCAAACTACCATCACCTCACTCCATGCCATATTCGACTATTTCCACAGTACTCACCTCACCTTTGTCCTACCTTTGTGTTTGTCTCTTACATCTTTGAAACACTCTTCTGTTCCCCCCCCCCCTATCGACTTTTTCAACTTGATGTTCCTTCCCCTCTGTGAAGTCTGTAGTCAACTAAAGGGCTAATGATAACCTTCAAGACGCCTGCCATTTGGTGTAAATAAATAATAAATAAATTTCAATAAAAATTGAAAAAAAAACAAGTAATCTCGCTTGATTTTTGGATTGAAAATGCGAAAAAAAACATTATTGTTAATTTCATGGAACAAATGTTTATTTCATTTGCGTATTTTTGGATGGCAATGTAGTTTCAAGAGTTTATTTCCACAGATGCCTTCTCGAATGCATGACTTATCCCAGCATGTGCTGTTTTAATGGCAATGAAAATTGGCACCGAATTTCACTATTTTTCTGTTCATCGAGGGGTGTGCAATAAACTTACCTCAACGTGGTGTACCCCGGGCAACGTATACTCATACGACAAAAAGTCTATGAACCGGCGGCCTGAAACAAAACTATAAGAGAAATCGCCCTTGTAAGGGCGAATCACAACTTCTACAGATCCTTTGGTGGAATACTGGAGGGATGTTACAAGACATGAGGATTCAAATCTAGAAAATCCTACATACGGATGACAAACTCAAATGCTACAAATTCCCAGGTTACACATTATATCAGCAAGTACCAGCAAGTAGTAATTCGAATTTTGACCGGAGTAGAAGAAAGCCTTACATCACATTACAAATTAATCAAGAGTATGGGCTCGAAACGAGATATATGCGAAGTAATTCGATTAAATGTTTGGAAATGTCAAAACCACTTCAAGATAAACACGGTCTATAAACCAACCTAGAAAAGACCCAACTTCGATCTTCTGAACATCTCAAACAAAACTGTAATACTTGGAGACTTCAACGCCCATTCCACCAGATGAGGCTATAAAAATATAAACACAACTGGAAAGGAAATCGAAGACATGGTTATCAGCAGCCCTCTGGAACTTATTTATAGCAATGAGGAACCTGCTACTTACCTGCACAGAACAACTCTTGACTTGCTCCTGGCTTCAAGCGACATCGGCGAGCTTACACACCGCAAAATAATTGACGATCCTGGTTCTGATCACAAACCATTCATTGCTAATATTATCAGCGACAGCAAACGCGTGGCACCGAAAATGTCAACCAAGCTATCATGGAAGATCAAGAAGGCCGACTGGTCTAGATTCGTTAACTTTTTAGAGAACGAACTTCACGCAAGTCCCATCAACTTCAACCAACATCCTGGTAGACTGCAACAATATTACGAATATTATGATCAGATGTGCAAAGAAAGCCGTTCACCGTGCCAAGACTCAACACTATAGAGTATTGTGGTCTAAACACCTTGAGGAACTAAAAAGAAAGCGGGAAGCCCTTCGCAACACTGCTGAACAGACTGGAAGAACGGAAGACGTACAAACCTGGAAACGACAGTCAGCTGTCCTAAGACAAGCCATCTTACAAGCTAATCGGACTTTCTTCGACAACTTCATCTCAAATATCAACTAACTAAATGATAGTCAACGCACATTCAAATTCTTGGGTAACCTCCAAAACAACAAGAAAAGACCCAGGAAAGAACCAGTAAGCTTGAACAACAAGCTTCTTACCACCGACTCCGAAATAGCTAACTACTTTGCGAGGTCCAAGCAAAAGAAAAACCCATTTGTCAGAAAATCTTCAAGAGATATAAAGAAACAAATAACAAGGTTTGATAAAATTAAGGAAGACACAACAATATCACACAATGTACTTACTAAACCACTCAGACCTTGCGAACTTAATGCTGCGACAAAACAGCTAAAGTGCAAAATGTCTCCTGGAAAAGACGGTATCCATCCGGAATTTCTTATTGAAATGGAGCTAAAAGCCAAGGAAACTATGCTGACACTATTCGTAACTACCCAATCAGTAATACCAATACTAAAAAAGGCAATGACTTTATCAACTTTGACAACTATAGGCCTATCTCCCTCACAGGCATGTTGGCTAAACTTGTGGAAAGAATGGTTAACAGGAGGCTGACCTGGTTCCTTGGGGCCAACAATATTCTTAAGAGTGAACAAGCAGGTTGTAGACTACAAAGATCAACAAACCAATAAGTAACCACCCTCTCCCAAGATATCAAAGATGCCCTTGATGCCAGAAATTCTCTTACGGCTGTATTCGTCGATTTCAAATCAACATATGACATAGTATGGAAAGAGAAGCTAATTCTAAATTGGCAAAGATTGGCATTAAACATAACATGCTAAACTGAATAAAAGCATTCATTGGACAAAGATCACGTAAAGCCAGATATGGAAACGATCAGCCCAAATTAAATCTTTTAAAAACAGGCCTACAACAGAGAACTGTCACAAACTTCACTCTTTTCAACGTCTTCATCAATGACATAGCTGAAACGGAACAGTCACGGGCATCAAGTGTTTGCTTTATGCAGATGATCTTGTTCTATGGTATTCCGCCCTCAAGAGGAGAGGACGGGAAAATGCCCTAAATTATGCACTTTTAGCAAACTGGTGCAATAGCAACGGAGTGATTAACAACACCTCGAAAACCGTATTCCAAACATCTTCATTGGCCTACCACAGCATAAATCCACATTTAAGGTACAAGGATACTTCTCTAGAAAAAACCAGCGACGTTTGACACAAAACTAATATGAAAAAGCCACGCTGCTAAAGTAGCAGAACGAGTCTCCAACAGATTGAACTGGTAGCATATGGGACTGTGCACGCTCAACCCTAAACACCACTTACAAGATGTTTGTTACAAAAATAATGTTATATTTCTGTGAGCTTCTCATTACAGCCACAGAGGAGACTCTCAAACCACTCGAGACCCACTCATTACAGCCACAGAGGTGACACTCAATCCCCTCGAGAAGGCACACAACCAAGCATTACGACTAATTATGGAGGAATAAAATCAACACCCATTGATGCAATGCTCCAAGTTACAGAAGATAGAAACACTCATCCATAATTACGACCAATTACTGGAGGGATAAAATCAACACCCATTGAGGCAATGCGCCTAGTTACAGGAAGCACCACAATATGTTCCCTTATCAAAGAAGTAGTTACAGTTCCCACAATGCTCCTAGTTACAGGGAGCACCACAATATGTTCCCTCATCAAAGAAAAGGCCTTGATCCTGTATGAGAAGCTACTACGCATTCCCAAACACCACAATAAGCTCCCTTATCAAAGAGAAGGCCTTGATCCTGTATGAGAAGGACCTTATCAAAGGAAGGCCTTGATCTTGTATGAGAAGCTACCTCATCAAAGAAAAGGCCTTGATCCTGTATGAGAAGCTACTGAAGAGAAGGCCTTGATCTAATCAATAGGCTCCCTTATCAAAGAGAAGGCCTTGATCCTATATCAGTGTGTTCTCTCCTCATCAAAGAAAAGGCCTTGATCCTGTATGAGAAGCTACTACGCATTCCCGGTTACATGAACTCCACAATATGTTCCCTTATCAAAGAAAAGGCCTTGATCCTGTTGTTGCCTTATCAAAGAAAAGGCCTTGATCCTGTATGAGAAGTTCTCTTATCAAAGAGATGGCCTTGATCCTGTATGAGAAGCTACCTCATCAAAGAAAAGGCCTTGATCCTGTATGAGAAGCTACTGTGGATAAATTCTCCAACACCTACAAAAATAGGCCAAGACACTTAAAAACGCAATCTGGTCTAGTACAGAAAGCCATAGAACTGAAGAAAGCGTTACAAATTGATGACAAACCAAAAAGCCTATATCTGCTTCAAAACCCGTTAGCAGACACTGATGTATAATGTTGCACCAAACTTCTTGACCATTTCAGGAAAGCAAATACCCATCCAAAGCAAATGCACTCATTGGCCCTTGAGATAATAAATGTCAACTATCCTGCAGATCAATGGCTCCAAGTCTTCAGATGTTAACTATCCTGCAGATCAATGGCTCCAAGTCTTCACGGAAAGCCAAGGAAACGTTGGTGCAGGTGTCTATTCTGAACTCTTCGAAACCAAGCAAACGTTGGGGCAGGTGTTTACTCTGAACTCTTCTCTTTCTACGCAACAGGGGGACACAATAGAACCGCTTTCGAAGGAGAAAAGGATGCCATTAAGATTGCGCTAGGCCAATTATTTTGCCCGGGTACGAAATTCAACAAAGCCATAATTCTTTCGGACTCGCAATCAGCGATAAACTCAATTGGAAACAGAGAGCCACCCAAAACAACTGAGATATACGAATGTAAAAAACTCTATGAGCTGCTGAGAGAGAAAAACAAAACAGTGGTCCTACAATGGATTCCTGGTCACTGTGGCATTAAAGGCAATGAGCTTGCTGACGCACTTGCTAAGAAGGGGATAACGATTTTGCATTGCATGTACCGGCCGATGTCTTTCCACACAATGAAGACCTTAATCAGAAGAGAATTCAAGACCTCAAGGTGCAACGAACTTGAAGCTCGAACAAAGGAGAAACAGTGGACGGTGGCACTCTCCGACATAACCGACTGGCCAAGAATCGAAGCCGTTGCTGAGTTTAGACTACGTACTGGGCATGATTGCCTGGCGAAGCACCTTTACAGTATAGGCATATATGCTCAACCAACATGCCCCCTATGTGACCTACAGGAGGGAATGGAGAAGACTCGCCTGTTTCGGTGTCCAGTCCTAAAGATTATGACAGAAACCCAGATATACTTGAAAGCCAGAAGACAACTAACGAACTACTGTTAACTCACCTAAATTCTAAATATATGTTCCTCCCCCCCCCCTCCCTTGTGAAAGCCAAAGTCAACTAAGCAGCTAATGATAAATATCATAAAGCCTACCATTTGAAATAATAATAAAACTGTTTAATTCAGTTTGACTATCATTTTATTAGTAGGTATCTAACTGCCACTAAACCTCGAACGATCCAGAATTCTAGTTCGGGCTTATTGTTCTAGGTTCCTGATTGAACTCACACTCGAAATGTCCAGACTAGAACAACTATTTGCATTACTTGATTAGGCCACCTCATTATTTTTTTTTGCTCCAAAGGATTAAAGTACCAGCCGGTGGTCCGTGGCCAACTAAGCTCTCTGAGAGAAGCTAATTTTAAATTTCATAGTTATTCTATCACTCAGTTCATATAACATGAATGTAACCGATGAAAATAATTTAAAATTTTGGTTGAACGAATAGAAATAAAAGCGACTGATTTAGTACATTTCAAATAAGGTATTATTCAAATTTGCTGTAGCGCAGAAGAGCCGTAAGAAGAAAGCTTTACCATTTCGCTATCTAGAGAGGGTGTTAGAGATCATTAGAGCTTATTTTCTAAGTGCCGACTTCAGTGAAGCTGTATTCGCCTTCACCAATAATTACACCTTATCAATCCTCCCCCCTCCCTCCCACCCCATGCCAATGTGCTTTATCTTTGGAATCTTTAAACAATGAACCGAAAGTGGTTACTGTGACTACCGTTTTCCACAAAATTTCAAATGTGTTCATAATTAGTGTGGCTAATATTACATCTTTTGGGCTTAATTTAAGAAGTAAGACCAGTATTTATCAGACTTTCCCTCTTATACATTTGACAGCCTTTGAAGTAGCTGATTAATAGCTATTCCAATAGACGTATCGAAGAGCTCGACATTTAGAAATGCTGTCATCAATCATTTAATTGTCTGGGCTAATGTCCATTGTCGCTAAGCTGTTCCAAATCAATGGAGCGGAAGTCGTCTTATCTCTATGATGTATTGGATCGTCTGCTTAGCTTGAAATTATAATGTTTATAGATGCTGTGATATATTAGAAGCGATAGAAAAGATATTTGTCGAGTTTAATTAATGACCATCCCACTTTTTCACCGGTGATGTTCGCCTGACAGGTCAAAGTCACGAGATCAGTGTCCACTGGAGTATGCCCAGTAGCGTGGCTGGGTAACCACACCGATTAATCTCGGTCGTCACGAGGGATTGTTGCATGTGAGTTTCTCGAAGGGTCAGTTCCATGATATCTTCCCTCTACTACTGCAGTTCAGGGTGAAGTAAACATAAAGACATAAAAGTGTTGATTAGGGTTCTGAATAACTAAATTCTCGGATTAGTTGCTTTCAAAGGACTAGTGCCTGGATGACCATTTAATCAAATTAATAAAAGTCAATATTTTAAATTAGACTCCATTTTTGTCTCCTTGAATACATTTATTTAACTTTAAAGCCACTCCCCTGAAGCTGCTTGAACGTTTTCCCCAACTTTTAAGCTTTTTCTAATGAATTTAGGAGAATTCTCTGTAATATAAAATATTTTATTGTTTAATTCACTTTGATGTTTAATTACTTCATTCCATAGAGAAATATAGTTTTGCACTTTTGTTCCATCCCAAAGCAAAATTGGATTGACTTTTCATAAATTTGATTGATGGGAATGTCACATTTAAAACTCGGGAAAAAAATTTTATAATTTTGTAAGTATTTGTTTTAATTCCAAAAATAGTATTATGAAAGGAAATTTTACACCAGATCATGAAATTTTAATACCAGTGAACCACTAATTTCGCTGTATTGTGGTGTGCACAAAGCTACCTCATGAACCATAGAACATTCTGGTAATCACGTTTATGTAACGTTGAAAGACATTGATTGTATTTAATGGCTAATCATGCAGGCACTTTAACAGAATGTACAGTAAATGTCTCCCATCGTCGTAGGCACTGTTTCCGTAAGCTAATTTCGGGAACAATCATATACTATTGTGATTTTGCCATTAAACTGGTAACGCTTCGCCATATTAGTTCGAATTTGGTTTAGAAATAATTTCTAGCAAATTTTTGCTGCTTAGAGCTAATACAGTGGTCTAATAACCAGATTTTTTGTTAAATCTACGCTGACACAGACAGTTTGGCTTCCGAATTAGTTACCATAGGTTTACCACTTCATAGGACAATTAATAATTAAGGTATTTACTAAACAGTTTCAACTAACCGCAAATTATCAGTAGGCTACAAGACTTTATCGTTTCCCTTCCAAGTATATCGATCCATGGAAAAGCAAAATTAATACCGGTGTTTCAAATTTAAAGTATGCAATAATAAGTGAGTGCATAATTGTTCCACATTAGATTTTTTAAATGAACTATTGGTTGCATACTCCTGATTGATACTGTCTACCTGGTTATGCAATAACCTAATGGCATGATTAATCGCGAAATCAAATTAGTCACTAAACAATTGCTGGATAGTGGAAACGGAATGTCATCTTCAAGTCTTGGAGTGATGCCACGGGAATTGGGGAATTACCTACATGTGGTTCACACAGGGAGACGTATGCTTTAAACGCACAAAAAGTCTATAAACCGACAGTTGATTTCCCAATTCAAACTACCATGAACCCACTGTATGTCATATTCGACCATTTTCCCAGTGCTCATCTTACAAATTCTCTGCCTTTGTGACTGTCTGTCTCTTTAACATCTATGAATCACTCTGCTGTTCCCCTCTTGACTTTTTCTCATTTTTAAGTTTCTCCCCTCTGTGAAGCCTGAAGTCAGCTAAAGGGCTGATGATAATTATCATGAAGCCTGCCATTTGATTTGTATGAATAAATGTCTTGAGATTTTAATATAATGATATTGCGTGGTGAACTATACTCAGTGTGAGAAAATTGGCAGCCTACTACTTTCATAGTAGAAATAAACCAAGGCCCTTGATGTGCAGGTCTCTTCACTCATCTCTTGTTGAAACTAAGATCAAATCAGATTTTTTTACCTAATACTTTGATCATGCCCTCTTTAACACTAAAAAGTATATATCATCATAACCGTCCTCTATTAGTAACGAAGCTTAAACCACTTCCATGTTTGTGAAGAATAAGTCAAGGGATTACAGTTAGGCAAATGCAAATCAACATCCACTCAATCGCATCGTCATGCAGACTGGCTGCTTGACCCTCAGATGCATTCAATTCCCTTCATTTCTCACTGTCTTCTGTCATCGAGATTAACATCCCTTAATACGTTGACTAATATAAATCTATCCTTTAAATTAATTAATTCCATTACTTCATTCTGCAATCATGAAGGCGAGCATTTAGAGACTTTCCGTTGGATTGCCATTGGCTATTTCATAGTACTGGATAATTCAGCAGGTGCTTATGAATTGTTGATGATGTATCATTTCCCTCTCATAAAACGACTCCTTCGCTGAGTTTTGAATGTGAGACTGTGAGCTTTCATGTCTATTTCAGATTTCTCCCCCCCCCCTCCCACGCACTTGGAACGGCCTCTCTGATCTTTAATATAATATAATGTAAAGATCAATATAATACGATATATTTTTTGAGTGTATGACTAATAAACTCTTTTTTTCAATATTACCAGAATATCAATTATATTCTACATACTGGAAGATCTGTAAATATTGGTTTCCAATTAAGTCTAAAGGGTTTTAATTAACCTTCGGGAATATCTTTATGACGACGAATATGCTTAAGACATGTTCTTTTTTATTTCTATAAGCAAGGAATTTTTGATAAAGGCCAGTCAGAAGGCAATTATGCTATACCCTCTCAGAAGTTTGGAAACAAAGTTTTTCTGCCTGTGATATCTTGCCAACGTAAGCCTCACTCGGTATTTTTTAAGGATCTGGAATATTTCCACTGCATCTATGAAACATTATTCAAGAAATTGCATTTCTTTCATTATCTCATAGGTGACATAGACGACCTCATATTAAATGCACATAAGCCAAAATCTGTTATAAAATCAGCAATTTAACTGAATCATGCACATTATCGATAATGATAATGACCCCAGAAAGTCTCCCAGTGGTGGTCAATCCAGACAGCACTTAGGTCATGGATCACGTGATTGGCTCTCATTGACACACGACAGGTGATATGAGTGGCCAAATCCAAACGGATTAGCAGAAACTGAAAGAGCATCTGAATATGCAAAAGAACAGTGAAGAAGGAGTAATAAGCAATAATGATAGGAAATCAAGTTTCTATTTAAATTCTAAAATCATTGATTCGCCTATATCCTTTTTAAGGATTACCGTTCACTCTGTATCACCTAAACATTTTAGTTTAGTAGTTTGTATTCAGGGTTTAAACAGGTGATTATGTCCAAAATATTAAAAGTTCCTTGGCCGATCGATTTAACACCACCTCCATCGTTCTACAGCCAATGGCACATAGTTGAGAATATCAACGGTTGTATGGTATGAAAGAGCTAATTTGAGTGCGTCCAATGTGAACTTTAGATCGCGTTGTCATCTAACTATAACGAGATTGACAATTATTGATATGCCTTCGTTTCCACTACATGAAATGCAGGCAGAAAATCCTCAATCAAAACGATGGAGATGATTGCGAATATATTTCAACATCTAGTCACCAACACGCATCATCATTCTACGGTTCTCAGCTGACGAAACTTTTCATTCTCTTTATTTTTCATCCATCTTATCACTTCAAGTGGGATGTTAATCAACATCAGTTAATACCAGGCCATTACACCTCAAGGATTTGTGTCCAAAATGAGCAAACAGAGATGGTATCTCATAGGCTTTTTATGATAATTTGGCAGTTTAAATACCAATTGTAAGGGGCGCAAACTGTATGAATATATAAGATCTGGAAAGAGGTTGCCTACCTTCTGACATCCTTGGCTGAATTTTGAGACGAGATTGATATGTATGTAAATATAAATTCAGGGAAGAGAAGTCTTAAAAAATAATTCCTAGTCATTAGT